GAGAAATTGCATATTTTGTTATACTGATAGGAAGTGAAAAACTGATACAGGAGAAAGACAGGCCAGTGAAATCTTGAACTGAGAGGGACCAAGATGAGGGAATTGGCTTTAGTCAGGAGCACAGAGAGTCCATCTAGAATTAGCAAACCAGCAGAGCATCTGGGCGCCAATGCTGTAGCTAGGTGAATGTAGCAGTGGACATTCTTTATTGATGGCTACACTTGTCTTCTTGTTGTTGCTATTGGTTAAGAGCCATCAAGTCAGTTTCTACTCATCAGGACCCTCTACAGCGTTTCTGAGGAGTGGCTGATGAGTTTGAACCGCCGACGCGATGCTGTAGTGTACGGCATTAGCCCACAGCACCACCACCCAGGACGCCACTGTTGTTGTTGTTTTGTTGTCAAGTCAGTTCCAGCTCACAGGGAGCCTATGTGGGGTTTCCGTGGAGCCGCTGGTGAGCTTGAACCACCACCAACCTTGCAGTCAAACAACTTTGCAGTCTGCAGCATTAACCCACAGTGACACCAGCCAGTTTATCAGCAGAGGGGGAGAACACCGGAAGAGATTTTGGAACTGAGGAGAGAGAAAGAGCTGAGAAGCCAACAGAATGCACTAGGCAATTCAGCATAATTTAAAGCACATCATGAACTGAAACAGAGGCCAGTTTGTGCACAGCTGTATCTCTGTCCAGTCATCTTTAGCTGCAGAGGTGAGGGAAAGGAGCACACAGAGTTGTTATTTAATATGAGGGTTTGGGTTTTCATCAAGGAATTATGTCAAAGCAACAAAGGGGAACAAGGGAATTCCAAGCGCAAAGGACAGTGATTATAATGACAGAAGGTGGAATTTAAAGTGAAAAGTAAGGACAAGAGGTGGATAAAGGGTAATGAACAGGTAGGGGGTCACAGGTCCTATCTGAGCTGAAAGATAAATTGAAGAAGGACTAGGGGGATGCCTACATAAAGGAGGCAGTGGTCACAGATACAGGAAGTTAAGATTATGGAGGAGTTAAAAGGCAGGCCACAGAGTAAATAATTACTTTTAGGAAAAGAATTTGGTCTTTGTCCCAGATTCCTTAAGAAAAGATCTGTAAATTTTGGAATTTCCCTAACAACTAGACTCTGTTATGCTAAGGAGGTGACTTTAGACTTGGGGCTCAGAAGATTTAACAGGTGATAAAAGCCAACCTCCATAGAGAGGGTAGAGATTGAGTTCAATCAATCATACCATTTAAGCAAACCCTATAAAAATTCTAAACTCAGTAACTGTAAATATAGCAAAATACAGCACTTGCAGAACTTCTGAGTTGTAACAAAATATCAAACCCAAGGGGTTAGTTGTTGTTAAGTGCCTTCAAATTGGTTCCGACCCACAATACAGGATTTCTGAGGAGTGGCTGGTGAGCCTTAACCGCCAACCTTGCAGTTTAAACTGACTTTGCAGTCCAGCGCATGGTAACCCACAGCACCACACCAGGAACTCAAGGGGTGAGTGGGAATCGAGAATTTACAGCCAGTTAGTCAGCAGCATCCTCGTGTGGCGCTGTGATAAAGCACTGGACAATAAGGTCGGTTTGAACCACAAGGTCGGCAGTTCAAATTCACCAGTCGCTCCTTGGAAACCCTATAAAGGTTTGCAGAACTGACTCAACTGCACTTAACAACAACAGTCAGTAGCATAGTGGTTACAAGCTGGGCTGCTAACCTCCAGGTCAGTAGTTTTAAACTACCAGCTGTTCCATGGGAGAAAGATGAAGCTTTCTGCTGTCATAAAGATTTACAGCCTCAGAACCCGTATATAGGGTCGCTATGAGTCAGAACCGACGCCACAGCACACAACCACCACCACCAGTCGGAAGTCCAGGCATCCTGGGGACCCCAAATTTGCGATTAGTATCTAAGTTCTTGGGCGGACTTCACTGGACAGTTTGGATCAGAAAAAGAACTGCATTTGAATCTTGATGAAGTGATTTCTGGTGCCCTCCTTATTCTTACTCTTTCCGCTCTGTAACTGGGCTGAGCAATTTGGAGAGATTCACTCTCATCCTCTGCAGCCTGGATCTGGCTCGCCACTGCCTGACCTCTGGTTCTTGGGACTTGAACATGCAGCCCACTGCCTGATTTGATGTGCCAATCTTGTGAGTCAACAGCTCACCTGGGCTTCTGGTATGGTGCAGTAGGATCAGCACTGAACTGCAAACCCCAAGGTCGGCAGTTCAATCCACCAGCTGCTCCTTGGAAACCCTATACAACAGGGTCGCTGTGAGTCAGAACCGACTCAACAGCACTTAATAACAAGATCTGAACTATGATTTGGGATTTACTAGCCTCCATAACCCCATGGGCCATTTTCCTTGACAGTTCCTGAGTTCTGTGAGACACTGCACAACCCTGGGAGTGGAGGGAGAATACTGAGGGGATGCAATGTGTGGTGACTGATACCAGGGATCATGGAAACCAGAACTTTGGAAAAGTCAGACCTTTGGAATACTGCATTATAGTGAATCACTTTTTATGACTCTGCTACACAGTTTTTGTAACTCCCAAACAACTTTTGTTGCTGATGGGTCTTGGTAAGAGAAAGTGGGAGAAGATGAGGGTAGGATTATGAGTCCGTTGGGAGCTATTATTAACAGGGTTGTGATCCTAAACACCTGAAACTCAGCATGGGTATCTGAGAGGCAATACGGACATCTTACTACCAACATACAAGAAAAGCCAGGAGTGGAGAGCATCTTGTGGACTCTGAAATCCTGGTCGCTACATCTCCTCAAGCCAGAAGACAGAGCTGTAACACAGGAGGGCGGGCAGCAGAACCAGGAGCCAGAGCACTAAACAGAGCGGTGCCAGCCCCCAGAGCACGTAAAGCTGAGTGCCTTTGGGTGGAGGCTCACTTGTGGAGTAGGGCTCACAGCGACCTTATATTGGGTTTCCAAGGAGTGGCTGGTGAATTTGAACCACTGACCTTGTAATTCAAACTGACCTTGGGGTTCAGTGCTTTATTCTACAGTGCCATGGATGTAATAGTCCTACTGTTGAGGTCTTATAGTCAAGGAAAGGTTTTCTTTATATATGTAAACCTTTCCTTGACTATAACACCTCAACATTTAGTATTATAAATTTGTAATTTTGTGTTATTTGTCCTTGGCATATCTTCTTTTTAGCTGTGGGTTTAAAAATCCTAATTAAGTAAGAAGTTCTTTAAAACCAGGACTGTAAGTTCTATTTCTTAATCACCTATCACTAAAAACAATAGCAAAATGGAAAACACAAAGGCTTTACAGATTAGTAAACCAATTCTGCCACTTCAAAACTGGATGAATCAGCTATCAAGTAGAAATTGTAAATGCCTATTTAAAGGAAGCTGTGAGAATTCAATAAGATAATGTATAAGTAAACTACACAGCACTAAATAGGTGACTTGATATAGAATGCTACTACTACTATAAAAAGGTGAAACACATTTTGTGCTGGCAAAGTTTTCCAAATATATCAAAAGTTTTAGTTTTATATATAAACATGTTGTTAAATGCCAAAAAGTTGGTTGCGACTTGTAGGGTTTCCAAGAAGCAGCTTGTAAGCTGGCACTGACAACCGTGTGATTTGTAGGCCAGTGCTGATCCTACAGTACCACACACCTCACATCAGTCTGTCAGTAAAAGCAAACTTTTTAAACAGTCTCATTTTCATCTTTACCACCCAGAAATAGTAGGACTACATATATAGTGTGGTAAAATATATTCACTCTTCCTTTTCTCCCTCTAATAATTACTGCCAGACTGAGACAGGGTTGTATTCATTCACCATACTTATTCAACCTGTATCCTGAGCAAATAATACGAGAAGCTGGCTCATATGAAGTAAAAACAGGGCATCGGGATTGGAGGAAGACTCATTACCAACCTGCGAAAAACAGATGATACAACCTTGCTTGCTAAAAGTGAAGAGGACTTGAAATACTAACTGATGAAGATCAAAGAGCACAGCCTTCGGTATGGATTACATCTCAATGTAAAGAAAACAAAAAT